GGGCCGGCGGGCGGGGGAGGCGGAGCCCGGGCGGCGGGAAGCGTGCGTCCCGGTCCGCCCGCGCGGCGGCGCAGGGTCCGCGGGGTTGGGGTTCGGAGGGTCGCCTGGGACCCGGCCTGAACTAGGCGAGAGGGCGCTGAGGCTCCCGGCCCCGGAGCTGCGGAGCTGGGAGAAAGTTTTGTTCGCCACGGGGCACAAACGTAGGCCGCTTAGGCTTGTGTCTTCTGGCGCCCACCCGAGGCCGCGCCCTTCTGCTTGGACTTGTCCTATTAATACTTTGAAAGCTGCAAAATAATAAAAACTGCCGAGACGTTCTCAAGGAATAGTCTTTGGGCCACTGATATGGAGGGAGAACGTGAGTTTCAACTCCCCAAACACAATCAGGATCACTGAGCAAAAGCATTTTTACAAATTAGCAAGGTGGTTTTTGTATGAAAGATTTTGTTTAAAAAGAAAAAAATGTTTTAAACACGAAGAATTAGGTTTGCACCAAAGGAAAACGACTGTCAAGAAGTCGTAGCGCTGTTTAAGCAAGTTAAGGTAACTATTGGAGCAAATGAACCTCAAAAATGATATCCTATTATTTAAATTATCGTCGACAGATATTCTTTGATCCACTTTTCCACATCCTTTAACTTGGTCCTAAAAATAATAAAGGTTCCTTAACTCACTGAATTGCTTTCCAGGTATTATACAAGTAAGTAATCATCTCGAAATCTAGCATTCCACACCATGGATTTGCTAGAACTTTAGTAAGAAGCAGTCCATTGAAGGCTACCCTGATACACAGTGTTAAATCCACCCCCAAACTACTCTTCTTAGGTTCTTCCTCAAACTTCTAGTGTTTATCTGTTACATTTCAATAACTATGGAGCAGTGCTTTTTGTTTAGCCTTAGTAACTTTACCATTATTGGGTAGCCTTTTGTATATGTCCATACTTTTTCAGGTGGGTGTTATGGTGCATGCCTATAATTCCAACACTTTAGGAAACTGAGGCAAGAGGATCACAAATTCAAAAAAAAAATTGTCTAACACATGTCTCTCTGAGTAGTTTAGGTTGACTTTGAACACACTGTAATCCTACAGCTTTAGACTGGGAAGCACAAATTCAATGCCAAGCACAAATTCAAAAGTTTTTTAAAAATTTAAAATAGCTGAGCATGGCACCATTGGCCTGTAATCCCAGCACTCTGGAGGCTGAGGCAGAAAGATCACCAGGAGTTTGGCCAGCTTGCACTACACAGCAAGACCCTATCTCAAACAAACAAAGGTACTTTAGTGAGAAGGCCCTGGATTCAATCTCTAGTCCTGGAAAAACAACAAAACTTTCCAGCAACACCACTTTAACAATATATTACTTGTTACAATGCATTACTTTGTTGCAGTATATTTGTTACTGCTGTATAACATAAACATTCAAAAGATAGTAAAGACTGAGGATTGCAACACATGTAAGCCTTGAATTTATAAAATACTCTTTCCAATGTGGGGGGGTCAGGATCACACTATATTGCCCATGCAGGCCTCTAACTTGTGCTCCAGAGATCCTCCCATCTCGGCCTTCTGAGTAGCTCCAACAAGTGTGCGCCACAATGCCCTGCTGTTTCCTCCTTTTCTTTCTTCCCCCTTAAGTCTTTTCCTTTATTCCTCCCTGCCTCCTTTTCTTCTTTTTTTCTTTCCTTTGTTCTTGCTTCTCTGCCTCCACCTCTTCGTTTTTTGGTGGTATTGCCAATTTGAACTCAGTCTTTTGTACTGAACTGCATTCCAGTTCCCCTTTTTTAACTTTTATTTTGAGACAGCTGAGCCCCTAAATAGTCCAAACTGGGTTTGAATTTGCAATCCTCCTGCCTCAGCCTCCCAGACTGCTGGAATTACAGTATGCATGACCATTTCTGGCTCCAGTTACTTCTTTTCTTAAACATTTGCTTACACTTACAGTAAATGAAAAGAGATACAATCAAGGGCCGATGAGATAGCTCAGCAGACTAAAAGCCTGCTTATAGCAGGGATCAGGGTTTGATCTCTGGAACCACATGCCTGGCCCTGCCCCCTGGTGCAATGGTACACACACTTATAATCCCAGTGCTAGGGAGACTGCAAACAGAAGTATCACTATGAGCCTGAGCTGTGTAGTGAGACCCTGTACCAAGTACATTTTTTTAAAAATAATAGATACAATCACTTGTGTGACAACTACAGTATTTATTTATATGTTGTTCTTTTGTGTGAAACAGGGTCTTGTTATACAATTCAGGCTGGCCTTGAACTCGCTGTGTAGCTCAGGTTGATGAACTCATGGAGATACCCCTGCCTTAGCATCCAATGTGTTGAAATTGCAGGTTGTGCTGCTATGCCCAGCTAAGTGGTGTACACATGTAACCAGAAGGGACTCATTTTTAAAATGATATGTTGGGGGGCTGGAGAGATGGCTCAGTGGTCTAAAGCACCTACTTGGAACAAGCTTGGCAAAGCACAGGGACCGC